ACTGGGCCCAGAACAGAGCCCTGGGGCACCCCACTACACACTTCGCTCCATGTAGATGTGGTTCCATTGAGGACCACATGCTGAGTATGGCCGGTCAGCCAGCTACGAATCCATCTGGTGGTGATGCTGTATAACCCACATTTTTCTATCTTATCAAGTAGGTTGTGATCTACTTTATCAAATGCCTTACTGAAGTCCAAGTAAATTATATCTACAGCATTCCTCTGGTCCACTAATTTTGTCACCTGGTCAAAGAATGCAATAAGATTTGTCTGGCATGATCTGTTTTTGACAAACCCATGTTGGCTTTTGGTAATGACTTTGTAGCATCTAGGTGTTCGCTGATTCGTTGCTTGATTATCTTTTCTAAGATCTTCCCAGGTATTGACGTCAGGCTGATAGGTTTGTAGCTTCCTGGATCCATTTTTTTCCTTTTTTGAAGATGGGAACCAGTTCAGCTCTTTTCCAGTCCTTTGGTAGTTCCCCAGTGTTCCAGGATCTTTGAAAGATATAGTTCAGTGGTTCTGAGATCATATCTGCCAGTTCCTTCAGAACCTTGGGGTGTAGTCCATCTGGTCCTGGTGATTTGAACTCATCTAGGGTGGACAGGTGCTCACTTGACATTTTCTTGCCAGACAGATGTTGTTTTAAATATCTTAAATTATAGTTTAAAGACAAAATAATATACCAACATATTTTATAATTTAGAATTACTGTATTTGTCACCAGTGAAACCATCCTTACTTTAGGAAACAGATTCATTTTGAACAATATGCAGTTTTTAAGAACATACAGTTTCGTAACATAATTATGCAACATACCACTTTAAAATGTGTGCTGGAGAAATTAGCTAATGGTAGCGTTTAACTAAAGACAAAGGATCAGTAAAAATGATTTCTAACATATTCCCATTAGGATGCTAAGATCAGCCCAATGTTATTTATTCAGAAGAAAAGAAAGGTATCACAATTCCAGCATTATTTTCTATTAGAATGCATTTAAAACAATTGGTGAGTTTTTTCCATACTATTTTAATGAAATATTACCAAAACAAGGTAGCAGTTCATTTGCAAATCTACCTGAAGAACTGTAAGAGATGCAGTCAATTTGATACTTCTATTTTGTAAATGAAGTAGCAACAGAAGAATCAATAAACTTTTTCAACTTAATTTACTCAAGTCTTTATTCTGGTAAGCTATCTCACTAACTTTTGCCTGATCTTCTTTATATGAAATACATGACGTTATCATTACACAGATCATTATTTAACCTTTTCCCTCGTTTAAACATAAAGTTCCCTCACACTGCTATTTAAATTCTCCTAGTCTTCTTGCAAACCCATATCTTCAATTATCAGTTATGTATCTTTGAAACAGAAATAAAATTAATCATAATAATGGACTCAGCACTCATACAGCATTTGAATATACTACCTAAAGAATGGGAAATACCCAACATGCTAATGAACATCTCCTTACATAATTGTAACTTTAAAATAATTTTATTAACCAAAAAAAGAAGAGCATTTATAGTTATTTTTTGTTTAAGCAATTAACTAAAATGGTGTCCGGAAGTCCATGTGCTATAACTGCTTACTAGCCAGATGTTTTCTAGGCAGGGATCCAGGGACAGCATGCTGTAATACCTTTTATCCTATAATTTGTGCTTCTCATCCAGAGCATTCCCTTTCAGTCCCACAGCATTCAACCTGAGAATTCTACACTGTTTCTAGCATTACTGACTCTGCAATTCTATGGTTAATGTTTAGTTTACTCATACAAAATGTATAAATTAACATTAAATTTAGTAAACCATGTCACAATAGATGGATAGATTCCAGTAAACTCATCTAAAAATACCTGCATAAAATTATCTTGATAAATAGTTTATTTCACCTTTCCCTATTTATAAATCATGTATATCAAATAAAATTCAAAATAAAACATGTATCCGTTACAGCAACAGAAATCATTTCTAAATTTATCCTGATCTTTTTGTCAGCAAATGGGTGGCTACCCACGTTCACTTTATTAAATTTATAATAAGGTTACAAATCTTCCATTACTTTCAGGGTTTCCTTACCAGCACAGTTCCAAGTGGGAAAATAGCTTTTACATTGGGACTATTTAAGAATCAATGGATTTCAGAATACTTTAAAGCATTATCACAGTATAAACTGCTTCATTTCTTTTACAGTCATGTTCACACAGGCATATCAGGATGATAAGCCACAACAAGCACTCACATTTTCATGTTTCTTAATTAAAAGTTTGGGGGACATATTTTCAAAACATTCATATTACTCTGGTTTCCTGTTGGCCTTAAAAGTACTCATTTTGGATAGTGCATTCAGTTTTAAGAATCATATTTTTATTTGCTATTGTGTCTTACAAATTTGGAAGTTTAGAACAGTGGTTCTCAACCTTTTTAATGCCGCGACCCCCAACCAGTCGTAAGTCGAGGACTACTCAACCGGTCATAAGTTGAGGACTACTCAACTGGTGCAGCACTGTTTGCAGAAAGGGACTTTTGGCGGGCTCAGCAGGGCAGAGACAGCCTGGACAATTCCTATTAGCTTTTGAAAGCTAATAGAATTAGACTCTATTCAAGAGTATTCTATTGGCTTTCAAAAGCCAATAGAATAAAAGGGAGTAGCACAGCTAAGGAAAAGGGGGGAAAAATGGCGGACTGCGTTGTTTGGCGACCCCCGTGAAATGGTCGTTCAACCCCAAATGGGGTCCCGACCCACAGGTTGAGAACCACTGGCTTAGAACATCAAAATACCTGGACTAATTTTCAGGAAGTTTCTTCAAGGATTGGATGTTAAAAGTATGCAAAATGTTTTTGCAAACTGAAAATATCTCACATTTGCAATATATTGTTTTTACCAGTTTCAATCTTGATACTGCTCTCATCTAAATTTGAAACAGAATTTTTCAGAATGAGAATGTCTCAAGCTTAAGAGTCATATTGAACTTGAAAAAATACATTTAAACAAAAATCCTTAACAATTCAAAATGTTGAATTGTTGTAGGCCATGTGATTTGAAGATCCTGTCTAGGTAAAACCTTTGGACTACAGTACATATACGTATGAACTCCTCTGTTGTGTAACCAAATCAAGGATGATTTCTTCAAGCAGGCTGATCCCGAGTTGCTGAAGAAATTCTCCTTTTCAAGAAGTACTAAAGCTTTCTAAAAAGCAACAAAGAAATGTAAGGCCAAGAGAACAATTAAAGCCATATCTCTTTCAACATGAAGACCAAAAGCCTACAGGACTTTTCCAAGTAAGGAGTTTAAAATCTAAGGGTCCATCACCATTTGCACTTAACCATGGCATAAATATGTCCCAGCAACCTCTTTCTTCTGACATATCCTCATGTTATTACAGCACTTCCAACTCATCCCAAACCAATATCTACAGTCCTTAGCTGTTAGATGTTTAAGCAGAATTTTCCCTTTTAACAAGAAAAGAAACCACAACATTTTGCCATGGGTGAACCTGACCAGCTTTACAGGTTATGTGATTGATGTGGAAATCAAGTGATTCCCATGGGATAAAATCATCCCACTGACCACTTTAAGCTGGGACAAGCCTGACTCTCTCGTATTCTGCTGTGGGCAGTAGTAGAATTTGGGCCTTTCAAACTGGGCTCTCTCTTTTATACTTATCAGGTCTCTCAGCTGATCTGCAGCTCAATGATCTGGCGGTAGCCAGCACTGACCAGGCGTGGTAGAAGTGGTTGGCTGTTTTGTGAAGTACAAAACAAAGAGCCAGTGTGAGATCCATCTGCTGTTTTAGAGCATATCTCTGTGTCTGTCAGCTGTCATTTGGAATTCTTTCTGCACCTGGGTTTAGTACTCTTCTGGAATAATGCTACACCCACATTCAACACAAACCCATCAATAATAGGGCTCATTTCGGAAACATTTATCAGTATTCCAGAAGTGAACACTATTACAGAATAGTACTATTATTCTAGAATAACCCTATTCCAGAAGAATGCATCCATGTAAAACTCTTAAACCAGAGCAAGTTCTTATAGATGTCTAAACCAAGCATGTTTTTTAATTTGTAAATTGTCCAGAGGCATGCAAGTGTGATGGGCGCTATAAAAATTGGATAAATAAAAATAAAGAAATAAACCTATCTAGCCATCTGTCAAAATCCAGTTCCATCTCAGATTAAGGAAAGTGATTGATGGTACTTTCCCACTGACCAGTGACAGTTGGCATCAGAGAAGGGAAAGGAAAGGAAGGGGGAGGGAAGCCAGCAATCCATGCCCTGTATTCTGTAAATAGGGCTAGTAACATTTGCGGGCATTGTGGCTGTTGTGACAGGATCACCAGTTAGGGGAGCAAACCTATGCTGGTATAGTTTCCCAGCTCAACGACTGGTGGATAGCTATTTAATTCACCGATGAAGAAAAGTCATTTGTTATCGCATACTTTTCAAGCACGCTTATAGTTTCTGTGCGCTCCTAGAAGCTTGTGACCTATTTAGATAAATCGAGAAAACGGCTATTCTACAATCTCACATCTGTCTGCAATATCGAAACTGAACTGAAGGAGATCTTGAGGGAAGAGGAGGTAAAGCTTGTTGTGTGCTTGCACGCTGAGAACCTGCGCTCCTTTCACCCAGCTACAAGCCTGGCCCTAACACGCGAGGCCATCTACACACGAGCAACTAAGGGAAGCAGCTTTCCCCCCCCCCCAAACATACCCAGTAGTTTGTTTCCAAAAGAAGCTGCCCCGCATCTCGGTGTACCCAGAAAAAACACCGCCCAAACGCGCTGTCAACAGCAGCCTGGATCGAAAAGCTCGCCTCTTCAGCAAACTTGCTGCTGCTGCTGCCTCCGAGATGCTGCTGCTCGGGCTCGCTTGGCTGCCTCAAGCGGCTCAACGCCTGTTTCATCAGCCTCAAGACGCCCTTTGCCAGGCCAACGTACACAAATAAGCGCCTCGAATTGACAACGCGGCTCTTTCAGAGAGCCGCCTCACCTCGGGTCCGCGGTGCCTCCCATTCCGCAGGCAGGCCAGCACAAAAAGCAGCATTTGACGCCGAGAGCCCCCGAAGGACTCAAGAGGACCGCTCAAACTTCGTAGCCGACCGAGACTTCACTACCCCACCGCGCCGAGGGGTCTCCGAGGGCTTCTGCTTGGCACCTGTCCGCGCGACCGTCCCGGGCGAAGCTTCTTACCTCGCCGAGGCGCGGCTTTGGCGCGGGACCGGAGGAAGCGCCTTCATGGGCGCCTATGCGTTCGGCTGAGCGCGCGCTTTCTCCCACCCGCCCTTTCCAGGAAGCTTCTTCGGTTAGGTCGACGGGCAGAGCGCGTGGACACCTCTCCTAACCGCCAGCCAAGCGGCTCAACCCTGGACCGGAGCGGCGCGCCGGCGACATCCCGCCGCGCGCATGCGCCCGGCCTGGCCCTAAACGACCCTAGGCAGCCAGGTGAAGCGCGCGCGGAGTGCGGCCGCTTGCAGTTTCTTGGCGCGCTAAAACTCTGCACGAAACAAGTCTTGATACAAGGCTCGCTCTTAGCCTTTTAATTTCTATTTATGACCTGGCGGCGTTTTGCAACGGGGTAGTTCATTCTCGTAACTTTTTCTTAAGCACTTATAGCCCGAAGAAGCACGCTCTTACCCGCCAAGGTTTATCATCAGGATTCAACGTTTCGACTTTAAGCTGCTCATCTTCGCAGGTTTCCTCTCATGGAAAATTAATTGATTCCTGGTCTTGCAAATCTATCGATCGGCAAGCCTTTAAGTGAGCAGAATGGATGCATTTACTTCAGTGAACAAGAAGAGGCCCATTTTGGGAAGAAACTCCTTCCCTCCCGTAAGAAAATCCAAAGCAGACATCTTCAGTTCCTCAGATTTGGGCACTTCTATATGTAAGGCTGTAAGTCTATACATACATTGTATGTAGCATGTTTAAATGTGTGTTGTGTATGTGTACACTTTGAGAGCAAGCAACTAAATTTCATTTTTAATATGTGCCATTGTGCCCACAGTAAAAAAAATGACAAATGTTTATCTGTCTATCATCTATCTAAAATCAAAGATCAGTTTTTCAGATGAAAATGGAACACCATATTCACTTTTGCTGTTGTTACTATTTCTGCAAAGACACCCAGGCTGAGTTAGCAACCCTTTCTGAATCTACATCACTAACATGTCAACAGAGAAATAGATTTATATTCAGATTATTATATTTAAAAATTATTAAAGCAACAGCAAAAAATGTATGTTATCTGTGACTACTTTTATTAAATCAAGCAACACTGAACAGCTTTGAGGAAAGCCTTTGTATATTCAGTAAGATTTTGGAAAGGCCTGGAGGTAACATTCATGATTTACATATTTTGTTCCTACTACTGCTACATATGGCTTTGAAAAACTGAATAAAATGCCTAAGAGCAATTGCCACTCAATATAGACATTTTATTGAAACATTCTGTATTCAGTTCATATAAGTAAAGTCAAGGAGCTGCATTACTGAAATACACTGTACAGTACTTCAGATTTTGAACACATCTTGTCTAAATACTCATGAAGTTATTGGGTAAGTATGATAAGTGAAACTAAGTCTAAAAAAAAAATACCATCAAGTTAACTAAAGGCCTGCTCCAATGTCAGTTGTTTTTCAGGAAATAAAGAGCAAAGAACTTGTCATTGAGCTCCCAAATAAAAAAGATTGAATGCTGGTGTGGTTAATTTTTAATTAGATTGGGCCCTATGTTTGCACTGTTTCATATCATTTTCACTAATGTTAGGATCCTTCAGAGAAATCTTCAATGAACAGAAAGCCTGTAAAACCATTTCAAAATGTTAACAGTAATAGAAGAGAGCTTAACATGATTTTACAGTAGAAGGGTTTATATCTAAGGTAAATGATGGAGCAGATATTTCAAGGATTACTCAGAATAAGGAAGAATAAGAAAATATACTTTTTTCACCAATAATGTTTCTCTTGGCAGAAATACATGATATAAGATAGAACTGCCATCAATATTTTCCAATGTTTTTAAGAATGTGTGATTCAAAATGATATCTGAGAAAAAATAATGTTTAAGAGGGCTAACAATTTTTTTTTACATGCAACCTAGTCCTGAATACGTTTAGTTTAGTGGAGCTCTCATATTTTCAAGAAGTCACTAGATAATATCTTAACACTTCTGTGAAATCCATGTCAGCTTAATTCTCTAAATCAAGAGTCTTCAAACTTGGCCCATTTATGACTTGTGGACCTCAACTCTTCAGCCAGCGTGCCTAGCGGAAGAATTCTGGGAGTTGAAGTCTACAAGTCATAAAAGGGCCACGTTTGAAGACCCCTTCTCTAAATCATAGTAGTAATAGTACTACTAGTATTGTTCAGAAAATATTTATTTTTATTTATATTACAGTAAAAGCATTTTAAAATATCACATAATATAGCATTTTGTTTATACTTTTTACAACACATGATGAAAACTTGAAAGCAGGAAGAGCAGGGCACAGATAAACGAGAGGAAAATATAATTAGTGTAGTGCAGTATATTGAATGACAAATCTCTTATAAATGCGAGTATTTAAATGGCCAACTAACATGGTGATAATTTTTGCTTGGAATCAGTTGCACTACACTTGCTTCTGTGAAACTGTTAATATCTGTGCTCGTTGGCAACTCTGGCAATGGAGTCCCAAACCATCTGGTGGGCTTCACTAGAGAAAAGATTGGTTTTTAAGACATAGTACAACTCTAATTTGATCCTAAACCATTGCTACGCAAATTATCTATATGGTATGCAAACATAGTTTCACTCTGTCTCTGTGAGATTTGGATTTCCCTCTTCCAATTACAGCCCACATTGCCTGAGCTGTTCATTATGGCCTTTCAGTCTCTCATGGAGAGGAGGAGGAGAAAATGAGAATTACATAAGCTTCTAGCACCAATCTTAACATAAGTAATCCTCGGTGTACGACCACAATTGAGCCCCAAATTTTCATTTCATTGTCACATCCCAATTTTGCCATGGTTGTTAAGTGAATCACTACAGTTAAGTGAACCATGGCTTTGCTTGTCAGAAGCTTTCTAGGAAGATTGCATATAGCAATCCCAGAAGCCTGGAACACTACAACTCTTTTAAATGCATGCAATATGCTAAACACCTGAATTTTGATCACATGACTGTGGGGTTGCCCCAATGGTTTCACAATGGTTTAAGAATAGTGATAAGTCAGTCTTTTTCAGTGCTGTTAATTTTGAGTGGTCGTTAAATGAATAGTTTTGTAAGTCGAGGATTATCTGTATATAACCCAGGACCTTTTCATCTTGCCACACCTATCTAATCAAGTTTAACTATCATGGCCACAGGCCTTTTTTTCTGGATGATAAATAGTTGCTTAATCTTTTCATTCTCTTTTTGTTATTTTGGCTCGTCTTACTGCTAGTTTCCCACACGTCAGTAATTGTTTGTTTTGCTATCCATATTGTTATAACTGCTTTGGATATTAGAAGCATATAAATAAATACATGATTTTATACTTTTTTGCTTTGAAGTAATTATTCAAGATATTTCAAAGTCCACGAAATTAAAAATTTATCTGCTTTCTGTCTAAGATTTTTTTTCAACTTCTAATACTACGGTTGTTTTTATATATACAAAAGAACAAAGATCTTTGAGGATAGTAATTATTTTTACAAATACCCTTTTAAGTTAAGTCGGAACTGTATTAAACAAGACACAGAGTGGAACATAATCACAAGTTGAATTGGAATTAAACTAGCCAGACAAATATTTAAGCTGTCTAGAAGATGTGCTTCTAAGTGGCAGAAAAACACTGTTCTATTTTTTTGTTGATACTCTAAAACAGAAAAGAAAGACACTTTAGCACTGATTGGATAATACTTCCATTGTACTTCAATCCATGCTTTTGGAAAACTGGTTTTACTTTTACTTAATAGCATGAACAATCACTTCACAATTCACATGCTGTTTATAGTTCCATTAATAACAAGACACGAAAGTCCTCTTGTTTAATAGTTCATGTGAAAATGATTAATCTTTTTGTTTTTGTTTTGTTTCCCCTACACCTAAATATTCTGAATGCAGAAATAAAAGGGAAAAAACAGCATTTAATTATAAAGAACACTTGACAGTCTTGCCCAAATTACAACCACTTAGGCCCTTTACCTACTAATAGTTTATATCATTCAATTAATTTGACCAATGAAGTTGGGCTCATTTTGTGCTCACCCCATGATTTAAATTGCCTTCTGTTGTCATTTTGTGTTTTGGAATAAGAGCAATTTTCCAGTTACAGTAAATTAACCATGTCCTACCACACTTTCAAGTCATGTTAACGATTAGAATGTTTTTGACACCCATTACCATGGAGAAGAGGTTAAGCATGTTTTAGACATGTTTTGGGCAATTAGGAAATCCTTTTCCTCTATTCATGAGCCAGCCCCTCTTGCAGCCACTCTCTCAATTTGCCCTCTTAATTTACTCCTGATCTCTGATTTCCTTTCACATTAGCATCTCCCCACTTCCCATTTTTGAATTAGGTTCTTCTCCAAGCTTTCAACAATGAGCAGGAAAGAGCACAGCTCTGCTAATTTTATTTGAGAAACAAGAGAAGCTATGGTTGTGCACACTGCAATACATTGTAACACAATGTAACTCTATAACACAATATCATGGTGGACACAGCTGCTTGTGTGATCATCAGAAGCAGAAGCAACAGGAAAAAAATAATGCTTCCAAGGGTGACAGAACAAGCAACACACACAGCTGGCAAAACCTGGATATCCTTTGTGGTTTAAATTGACTTGGAGCAGAACAGGACTAGCATGCTCAAGAGAGTGCTTCTCCAATTTTTAAACATGGGTCTAGCCCTTTTGCAGAAAAGTGTTGGATCCATGTTTGAAAAAAACTCAATTTTTTCCAAGAGCACAAAACCTTTTTCTAGAAGGACCTTGTGTAAAATTTGACAAGCAGTTTGGAAAGCTCTGGCCAGGCATTAGGTACCAAAGTCTGATACGTAATCTCTCTTTCCAAATGGCCATTCTGGGCTGTGCTTCTCCTATTCTGAAAATAGCTTTTGGTTCTGGAGGAAAGTATTCTTAATCTTTTCTTAAGCTACACCAGATCCAGAACTGAGGCAAATAGGTCGAACGACCATTTCACGGGGGTCACCAAACAACGCAGTCCACCATTTTTTCCCCCTTTTCCTTAGTTGTGCTACTCCCTTTTATTCTATTGGCTTTTGAAAGCCAATAGAATAGACTCTCTTGAATAGAGTCTAATTCTATTGGCTTTCAAAAGCCAATAGGAATTGTCCAGGCTGTCTCTGCCCTGCTGAGCCCACCAAAAGTCCCATTTTGCAAACGGTGCTGCATCAGTTGAGTAGTCCTCGACTTACGACCGGTTGAGTAGTCCCCGACTTACAACCGGTTGGGGATCGCAGCATTAAAAAGGTTGAGAACCACTGCTGTAGTCCCTTTAACTCAGGGTAGAGTTGGGGCAACTGGATAGAACTGAGGGTTTATTGTCTTCCTTATACCTTCATGGATTTCGTAGCAGATTTTTTTTTTCTTTGTGCCCTGAGAGAGAAACATCTGCTGCTACCTAGGATTGAACTCTCAACCTTCCCAAGTGTCTTCACAACTAGGCCACCATGCCATAAATCCTTCATCTATCATATGCCTCCCAAAATCAGCTCCAGAGAACTTTCATGTTTTCAAAATGTATCTAGCGGCTAGATAGATGGGAAGAATTGTGAATATTTCTAGCTGTAGTTTTAATTCCACTACAGTATATAAGATTGGGCACAATCAATTTACAGGATAACTAAATCTCTTAATGATGTCCACATTAGCAAATGGTAAATGATATTGGGGAAAAGAATGAGTAGTTTTTCCCATTTTACCTTGCAGATTTAACTGATTGAGCCTTTAAGCCAGACAAGTAATAAAGGTGAGCGCATAAGCCAGATGTGTTCTTTCAACCACCGAGTAGCAATCATACTTTCAGTTTATCCACGATTCATGGATAAAGATTTCCATAGCATCAGTGGGCTTAGCAGTCCCCATTTTAGAAATTAGGTCTTGAAGAAGTGAGAAATTGATTTTGAAAGTTCCAACTGGGGTTAAAATTGGCATTCATCTTGTTCTTCTGAAAGGCAATTTCATAACAATTTTATAAATTAACAGTGACTGTGCAGCTGTCCTAGAAAAATGGTCAGTTCAGCTAGGCCAGAATGTACCATAACTTCAAGGACTTCTCTTTTCCTATGTGCCTGTTTTGTGTGTGTATGTGTGTGTGTGTGTGTGTTCTAAACATTGCATTTAAGGAAATAAGATTTGCTATAAATAGTATACAACCAAATAATTTAGATTATACTGGAAAGCGAACGAAGTAACCTCTAGTTATAATTTTCTGTCCTTTATATGCAAACCAATAATTTTCCTCTGCCACATTTATAATCATGAAAGGGAGATTGGAGAATGTGGCATACACTGCCACGGGTATATTGAAAGCTAAGACCTCTCTTGAAGTTTGCATTCACCTCCAATTATCTTACTATAATCTTATTCTTGGACAAGATATAAAAATAGAGTAATGTAGGAGAAAGTCTCTGAAAGTCATATATATATATATTGCAAAAAGTCAATGTTAAAACAGAACTATACATACATGCATGGAGTTTAATCCTGATCCCTAGATGCAAGCTAAAGATATATATAATTGCTGCTTTTACACAATTCTTCTTGGTTCTCTGACCAGTAAGAACATTAAATGAACAGATGAGGTCTGCTGGTACAGTGGTTAGAAAGCAATATTGCAGGCTAACTCTGCCCACAGCCAGGAGTTCAAGGTTGACTCAGCCTTCCATCCATCCGAGGTTGGTAAAATGAGGGCCCAGACTGTTGGAGAAAATATGCTGACATTGTAAACTGCTTAGAGAGGACTGTAAAGCACTATGAGCATTATATAAGTCTAAATGCTATTGCTAGTAATTCCTTACTTTGGTTAATCCAATCTCTCATGTTATAGGAATCTGTATGTATCAGATTTCCTTGATATAAAATAGAATAAATATCCTATATTCTTAAATATGAAGACATCTACATAATATTCCAAATCTTTCAAGTCATAAATGAAGTTGGGGGACCCAGCATCCTATAAATGTCCACTATTTGTTTTTACCTATATACATGTGTATGTATACATTTGTGCAATATAAGAATAATTACCATTCACATAATACAATATCTTAAAAAAAAATTCTCAGGTTCAGTTCTTTTGCTTACATCAAGTCATTCAGAAACAAAAATAACCATACTAATCCATGAGGCAAAAAAATCAAAATCCATAGTTGGGCCTTTTTAGAGCTTTGTTTAGATGAGGATATGAAGAAATGTTTAAATTCCATTTGAATATTTCATTGGAGAAAAAAAAAACCACAGAGAACAAAGGAACATCAATCTAAGTAACAGTTTACAGTAAGCAAATGGTTTACAGTCAGGTGCAAGGTTATATTCACTTGGCCAGACTAAACCCACTTCCAGGCATCCTATTTAGGGTATTTATATTAACCGCAGCTGACACACAGTTGAACATAGCTGATTCATGGCATTTGGGCATAGTCACTCATATTGAAATAATTGATGGGAGGCAAGGTAAGTCAACCTTTGCTAAGAAAGAAAAAGCTAGATGGAAATTAGTCTGATGAATGAGAATCTGGCCAGTCTTTAATTTTATCATGGAAAGTTTGTTTCCATATTCATTTTTAAAAGATTAAACATATTGAGCCATAAACGGACCCCAAAGGGTTATAAAATATCAATACAGTATTAAAATCGTTTTGTGGATAAATTTTATTTCTCCTAAATGTCTATGGAGATTCTCAGTCATCCAGGTCATGGTTGTCCCAAAGGTGCCTTTTCAGGGCAGCAACTGGACTTTCTTGTTTTTCTTTGAAGACGTTTCGCTTCTCAACCATAGAAGCTTCTTCAGCTCTAAGCTTCTCTCAGAGTTGAAGAAGCTTCTTGGATGAGAAGCGAAACGTCTTCAAAGAAAAACAAGAAAGTTTGTTTCTCCTATATTCATTGCAGACATTTGAAAGAACACACGCTGTATGTTAAGATACAATGTACTCTCTTTGGGTTTGAATTCTATTTTATCGAGGTTTGTAACCCAAAATCTTTTGATACGGCATGTTATAAAAGCCCAGCCAACTGTAATTTGTTAAACAAACTATGCTTAGTAGATGTATGTCCTGCTGAGAGTTTTCTCAATTTGTGGCAGGCATACATCCATTCAATCAAGTATATGAAGATAGTAGCCACTTATCTATTCTGGCATCAAAGCTGTAACTGGGTTCTTGTCTGATAATAGACAAGAAATACTTTAATCTGTCATGGTTAACAGACAAGGATAATGACAATTGCTACTATATTGAGAGGAGGTTTTGAAGTACTTCTAGCAGGATTACCCAATTCTGTAGTAGCTTTGTTCCCTATGCCATCCGTCTGGTAAACTCGCAAGATTCGTTTTTCTCGCTATGCACATATATACAAAACCCGAATTAGACTATTCTTTCTCTGTGTCATATATGTGGGTATATGCATAATTTTGTATTTATTTATTTATTTTTGTCATATTTATGTAGTGTATATTGGAGGTGGTGACCCTTTGAGAGCTGTATGCAACGAAATTTCATTTTAACGTATGCCGATTAGTGTACATTCAAAGTGACAATAAAGTTATTATTCTATTCTATTCTATTCTGTTCTATTCTATTCTATTCTATTCTATTCTATTGGAGTGGAACACAGCAAAAATCTGAAATGAGAGGTAAAAAGGAAATGCAATGACAAATCACTGCACTAAGCTAACAAAAGCTTACCTAAGGTATAAATCCTACCATCCTTTTAATTAAATGAATATAATTAGATTCAGAAAAGAAGAACACTAGAATACTCAGGGTTAATATACTGATAAACCTATTTTTAATTTTTTTTTTAACAAACCATATAAAATACGGCTTTGCAAAAGCAGTTAAATATAACAGAGACTGAATACTGGAAATTCTCAAGCAGAAACCAGCAGTTGTTTAAAGGACTTTTTTAGTCTGAAAAGTTCATAGTAATAGTTTGCTTTGGAGGTCTTCAGAGGCAAGAAAGCTCTGCATTTCAAATGGAAAGTAAGTAGTTCCAGAAGAATAGTGTTTTCCTTAATGTGGATTGTCAAGGTTCCAGAGAGAAGTTGGGAGATGCGCAAGTTGCAAACCAGAAACAAATTTGTTCCACTGAGTTGCAACTCCATTAGCTCATGGACAGCAGGGATTAAAATCCCTCATTAGTCATTTATAAAGTACAGAAAAGATATTTTAAAATTGACATTTAATTTTAATAAATATTAAAGAATAATAAGCCTATTCATTTCCAATTAAAAAAATTAAGAGAGAAAATCCATTTTTTAAAAAAATCTAAAATAAATACGGAGCAGAGGAAATAAGAAATATTTCTAATGCAGTGACAAACACACTATGTTTGGACTACTTCTTCAAGAGATTCCTGCAAAATATCTTCTAAACAATAAAATAGGGTCCAAAATAGATGTGATATATACGTGAATTTAAGACAAAAACCTGGGCAGGTTGAACAGCGTAGAGGCTGCTAAAGTTGGTCTCTATCTTGAATTGATTTGTGTGACATTTGTTCCAGTTTCACAAAGACAGCTGAGTCAGTTTGTGGCAACAAAATCAAGAAGCTCTGAAATAGTGCAAATACAAATGGCTGGAACCCAAATGTGTTTTTTTGTTGTGACTGTGTGGGAAACACAAAATGTGTTTTGATTTGAGCCTATTCAAAAATGTTATTTCTGCCAAATTCAAAAGGGTTAGATTGTTCTGTGATCTGATGAAAGGGGCGCTGGTCTTACCTGAACACCTTTTCTCAGCTGACGATGGAGAATCCACCAATGGGTTAACTTCATCTTCTGCCCATAGACTAGTCATCCAATTTTGCTCCGCCTCTCTTCCTGGGACCTCCCTGCCCCAGTCTCGACTAGTTGGCTATGTTTTCTTGTGTTGACTCCATCCTCTCCCCTCACAAGACCTGACTGGCCTCAAGGGTAGGAGTGGCTTCTCCATCGTCACGCTGAGAAAAGGCGTTTAGGTAAGACCAACGCTCCTTCTCCAGCATTCACGAGTGGAGAATCCACCAATGGGACATACCAAAGCCTCACTGTCCTTGTGGATGGGA